CCACCCCAGGAACATACATTTTTAGACTTCCTATCATGTGAAAAAGTTCATATAGATGTTATTAAGCCATTTATGTACATAGAAGACCTGTTCATTTTAGAAAGCCAGAGTTAAAAGTATCATGAAAGAAGATATGTGTGAACTATAGATATACTGAAAGTGTAACAAAAGAATTTCCAAAATTTGAGTTGAAGTTGATGTAGTGTTCTATCTCAACAGAACCTACTAATTTTTTCCCAAGAGTTAAACAGCTTGTACATAAACTATTTTCCAGTAATGTCACCCAAAGAATGAAAATAAATTACTTTTTATTAGAAACAATCGCAGTGCTATTGATATTAGACAATTCCCCTTCCATATAAACACTTAAATATCTTCTATTCCCCAACATTTATCTAAATGATAAATGGATCACAAAGCACAAAAAAGTGAACTCTATATAAAAGAACTCTATATAAAATGCAGAAATATATCTTGTAATTACTTGTAAAATAATTTGAGTAGCAGTATTTTTAAATATAGAGACTGATAAATTATTTTAGATTTATAGATTTAGATAAATACAAATATTTAAATAAATACAGCAAGGAAATCATTTAATACTTTATATTTGAATGAAGATAGAATATTCTACAACTTTGAAGATGGTTATAATGAAGTAATTAAGCTATTTGTATTGAAATAAAATAATTTCTCTTATATGTAAAATATATATTTTGCCTACAAATAAACGTTTTCTAGGGGCATCTGGGTAGCTTAGTCTGTTAAATGTCCGACACTTGATTTCAGCTCAGGTCATGATCCCAGCACTGTGGGATCAAGTCCAAGATAGGGATCTGCACTGAGCATGGAGCCTCCATGAGATTCTCTCTCTCTCTCTCTCTCTCTCTCTCTCGCTGTCTCTCTCTCACTCTCTCTCTGCCCTTTTCCCCAACTCACGTGCTCTCTCTCTCCAAAATAGAGAAGAAAAAAACTATTGACTTGAACATTGGCTCAAAAAACTCCAAGACCTATTCTATGAGATGAAAAAAAAAAAAAAGCTCATATATTATCCTTTCATCTCAGTTCCATGATTTAATGAACACATGGAAGTGATACATGAAAATGAGTTGATCTTAGAGTGAGTGTCTCCAATTTTTGTCACCCCAGTTGTCTGGGCAAATGATATCTGTTAGTTTTTATATATATTAAAGAGAGGCTATTCAATTTGGTGTTCTTTTCCTTAGGTCAGTGATACATTCATTCTAGTCCAAAGAACTCATTGTTTCCTTTGAGGGTGGCCTCTTCCATGTTATCACCCTTTGGCAGTGGTCGTACATTAACTCCTTTACGTTCCCTCTTCAGTGGTAAAATTGAATTAAAATTGTCTTAATAAGTGTAAGATAAAACTTAAGGCCACTTCTCAAACCTTAATCTGTTAGCAAGTATGAGGCTAATTTATTTGTATGTGATAATGCTATTAAGTTCATAAATTAATTTATTATAAAATCTGCAACTACAGGGAAATGTATAAAAACCTTTTATAGATTCTACTCTAAAAGTTCTCTTTTTTCTATTCCTTTCTTTTATTTTGGACACTGAAGAAATATGATCAGTTTGGGAGTATCTTAACTTTCCCCTTGATGTCATGATGTAATGTCATCTTATTGTTGACTTTCCCCATTGACATTTTGCAACATACACTCCTTGTGTTTTGACCAATAATAAATCAATCAACAATGCAGTAATAGAAACCAGTATTGTGCCTGCACACGTGTAGCGAGGTGTGCTGAGGGTGCTGAGAACCAATTAAATAAAACTCACATGTAGTAATTTCACTTCTACAGTACAAACTGTTAATGCCTGCCAATCTTCAGAATTAGCTGATAGTTATTCAGCCTTATAAGGAACATTTATTTAAAAAAATGCATATGTGGGGTGCATGGATGGTTCATTCCATTAAGCATCTGACTCTGGCTCAGGTCATGATCTCATGTGAGTTCAAGCCCTGTCTTGGGCTCTCTGCTGTCAGCGCAGAGCCCACTTTAGGTCCTCTGTCTGTCTGTCTGTCTGTCTCTCTCTGCACCTCCTGAACTTACGCTGTCTGTCAAAAATAAATTTAAAAACTCTGCATATGCTAAATTAATTAGAATCCAATACATCAATATCTTTAATTATGCATTACAATTAAAACTAATTTAATTAAAATTTAAAAAAAATTGTGTAGACACAATATATATTGCTGAAAAGAGAACCATATAAACAGAAGAGTTTGGAAATAGCACTTTTGAAGTCTGTTGAAAACAATTAGCAATATAGGACTAATCTCAGAAAAAAATGAGAGTTGGAGAGAAGAGTGTACCTAATAATTTTGTGAGCTTTATTATGAACCAGGCATTACTTTAAGTCCTTTACATTTATTACTTCATTTAAACTATGTACAAGTATTATCCTCACTTCACAGAGGGAGAAACTGGGATGTAGAAAGTTTAAGACTTTTCCTAAAGTTTATACAGTTAGTTGATGACAGCAGCAGGAAATGAACCCAGCCATCTTACTTGGAAGCTTAGGGTACTGCAACCGCACCATGGCAAAGACATTACCTCAGAGAGTAAATGGAGTTATTTTACATATTCACTGAAAGTAGAAGGAGGAGGAAAAAACGAAAACAATTAAAGAAATAGAACATTTAAAATCAGAAGATAATTTGAGAGAATGGAATAGGAAGAAAGATTCCTGAGCGTAACAATTGAACCTCTAGTTTTGCATATATATGAATGTAAGAAATACATGCTTACCACATGTCTCATTCCAGAAATCTCAAAGTGGATTCTTGTACTTACAAGGTTCTTGTACAGAAAAATTTCCTCCATTTAAGCCAGACTTTGTTTTCTCTGTATTATCTACTAACATAAAGAACTGAGGGGCGCCTGGGTGACTCAGTCGGTTGAGCATCTGACTTCAGCTCAGGTCATGATCTCACAGTCTGTGAGTTCGAGCTCCGCATCAGGCTCTGTGCTGACAGCTCAGAGCCTGGAGCCTGCTTTAGATTCTGTCTCTCTCTCTCTCTCTCTCTCTCTGCCCCTTGCCTGCTCATTCTCTGTCTCTCTCTGCCTCAAAAATAAATAAAAACATTAAGAAAAAAATTTTTAAAAAGAACTGAGAATATTTTAATATTATAATATTAATTTATGCAAATATATTAATTTATTAATGAGAATATTTTAATGTAAAGATTAAAGCAATTTTAAAAGCATATGTGTATGATGTTAATTTCAAGTTAAAACTTTTTTTTAAATGTTTATTTATTCTTGAGAGAGAGAGACAGACAGACAGAGCATAAGCAGGAGAGGGGCAGAGAGAGAAGAAGACACAGAATCTGGAGCAGGCTCCAGGCTCTGAGCTGTCAGCATAGAGCCCAAAGCGGGGCTCAAACTCGTGATCCATGAGACCATAACCCAAACCAAAGTCGGACACTTAACTGACCGAGCCACTCAGATGCCCCACTAATTTCAATTTAGCATGGTACTATAATACAGAAACAATAATGGGTCTTTATTGTATATTAAAATTAGTATAATTTTTCTAGTACTTTTTTTGGTTATAATTTTATGATTTTTTTCACTCTTGAAAAAAATCAAATCTCCAAAGAACAAAATTACTTTCTGCCAAGTTAAGTTATGATTTTCAATATAGATAAAGTGATTCAGTAACTTTTCTGAATTATTTATTCAGAAATTTTTATTCCTTTTCAAAATTCTATTGTCACATGTCTTTTTTTTGTTGATAATTGATTACACAAACTGACAATTTGGCCAGTTTTTCCATTCATAATATGTCTTGAGAAATATATTTCATATTCATGACTATGTGGAATATTATAATAAAAATGTTGGAATTAGATTGATATTGTTTGTAGCATTTTAGATAAAGGTATTCTGTATGAACAACAACAATGCATGTTTATTTTTTTTCCTTTAATATTTCCTGGCTCTAAGCCTTTAAAAGCAGCTCTTAAAATTGTCATATCCATTCTGAAACTTTACTGATCTTCATTAGAAGTTCATATATTGAGACCAGAATCTCTGTGAACGAATGCAATTATCTAAAGTGACAATAGGGGTGCCTGGGTGGCTCAGCTGGTTACGTGTCTGACTCTTGATTTCAGTTCAGGTCATGATCTCATGGTTTGTGAGTTCAAGCCCCGCATCAGGCTCTGTGTTGATAGCGTGGAGCCGGCCTGGGATTCTCTCTCTCCCTCTCTCTCTGCCCTTCCCCTGCTTGTACTCTCTCTGTTTCAAAATAAATAAATAAAAATTAAAAAAATAAAGTGAGTATAAACACTGAGGAATTCATACCCAGTTAAGATGAACTAAGCTGTTCTTAATGATGAGAAAGAAGAAAAAAGTTGTTTTTTTTTTTTTTTTTTTTTTTTTTTTAATGTTCCTCTTTTGCCTTTTGGGGGCTAATTAAATTATTTCGATAAAATATATAATCTTTAGAGCTAAAATGCACAAAAAAGCTAACACAAGTATTGCCAGTTTACTTATGATCAAAATAGTTCCAATGAGTTAAGTACCATGCCTGTGGTCATACTACCAAGGTGGTGGAGATAAGCACCCTGGCCCATAGCCCAGGTCCTCACCACAGGACCATAAAGTTTCTCTTAAAGGGAAGAGACACAACAATTCTCATGAAGAAAGGAAAAAGTACCATTGAGGTGCTCTAATGTTTTGTTGTTGTTGTTGTTTAAACAAATTGGAACCACACCTCAATCCTGATCATACCTCCCCAACCGGAAAAGTATGGTCTTCTGAATCATCAGCAGTTGCATGTTGTGCCATCCGCTGCTTGGAGCTTCTCTATGCTATGAAGTATTAATAATTACTTCACTGTGTTGAACTGGCTGGCACAAAATTGATCATGTTCTTATCAGGCTACATCAGGACAGCAGATCTCAGTCAGTAAACCTGTAGGACTCGTTTCCTTTCTTGTTGCCAGTGACTCTTATTATTTTCCAGCCTCCCAGCCTTGACCTGGCTGATAGAGATCAGATGGTGACTGAATAGAAGCTGCCCCAGTCCTGGGTCCATGATGTACGCGTAAGTACGCAGCTTTTCTCAGTCAGAGTTATCAACAGGGACAGAGGTTCACAACTCCTGAGATGGGCAGGACAAACGGCTAGTGGATGGTGCTTTAAAACTAAGAGGTTTTTTTAAAAAAATGTGTTACTATATTTTCTGTTAAAGTTTTATTTTGTTGCTATGTTTAAATATAAGATTTTTTAAAAACAAAAGGAGCCAATATGATCCTTTCTTTCTAAATAACAGAAATAGAAATGATATACAGTAATATATTAACTATATTATATTTAAACATTTAGAAAAACCTATGCTTCAAAAAATAATCTATAATACAGTTTAGTTAATTTCTTTGGTATGATCAGTAGCTTGGAATAAATTTTTGTCTTATGCTGCTTTGTGAAGTATATTCTGGGAAAATTTGAAATATAAGAGGAGAGTTTATTGGAATTTCAATTTTTAATTCTAAATAATAGAAAGTATGGTAGCAGTAAGATTTATATATATATATGAAGGATGAAAATTAAAATTCATATATAAATAACTATTCAATTAACAAAATCTAGACTATGTGACATTTGCCATGATAGACATACATATATATATATGTATGTATGTATATATATATATACACATTTAGGTAATTTCAGGCTATTGTTTAACAGACTCAGAAATAAATAACTAATATTTTATGTGAGTGATTTCATTCAACACCTGCTTAGTCTAACCTTGCTTCTCAAAGAGATTCTTGACCCCTCTACAGACACCAATTTCCCACAAGGTTTGCATTGACTGATGTTTCAGACTTAATCATGATTCTTTGATAATTATAATTGTACAGTCATTTGATTTTGTCTTCAATGAAACATAGTACTTTAAGCCTGTAGGCTCTGGTGCTCTTAGATAATGAGTGTTCTTGCCCTTCCTAAATTACTCTGAAATAAAAGCATTAGCCTGAGGAAGACTGTCTATTTCATACATAAAGCCTCTCCCCACAGGCCTTTTAAGGACAGCCTGATACAGCATATTATCTGTACTTTTTATTAAATAGGAGAGGTGTACTTCTTATTAAATATGAGAAAGTATTATTTCTAATTCACCACAATAAGGACAGAGTAAGACAAAATGTGCAGTAGGAAAAATTAGTTTTGTATTTAATAAACATTGACAAATAATGCTATGCTCACAATTTCAGTTGTAAACAATTAACAAAGAACTTGAAGTTCTCCCATTCTCATTTTGCTCAGAATTCTGTAGTATGGCTTTTCTGTCAGCCTGGTTCCTCTCTTCCCAACTTCTGGTATCATCTCTGTCCACTCCTTTTCCCACTCTAAAAGTATCATTACGGACACATCAAATTTCTATATTGAAACCTCATCAACTCTGACCCAGAGTTTATAATTCTGAGGATTTTAAGTATCTTTTCTAATTGGATTCTATATCAGTATTATTTTTAACATGGATATTCTTTCAAAAATGTGGGCTGTGCCACAAAAGTAAGAAGGGTAGGTAGCAGGCTTATTGACTTCCTTAGTACAGGTATTTTGTCCATGGGCAAAGAGTCTGTCTCAAAGAATGAATGACTTAGATGCTATAGCTTCTTCACAGCAGCTCCGTCTTTCTCACTGTGGTGTAGTGGAAAGAGCACTAGCCTGACATTTAGACGTGTCCTAGATCCAGCTTTGGACGCATTGTCTGGACAAGTCACTTATCTCTCAAGACTTCACTCCCTTTATGTGTAAAATGTGAGGAGAGTTTACACTAACAGAAGTGGGGGAGTAGTTGTCACTATTAATGGGACTAGAAATCGTTTTTTGGTGGGTAAGCACAAAGCTATTTTATTTATTATTTGGCTTATTTTGATATTATTTATCTTGGGTTTTTTTCTTGGTTAAATTAAATAATTGTGAAGTAATATGTGATATTGGGGTTTTTGTTATATTTTTACCATAGCATACCTAGTAAGTCTAGATATTGAATTGTGGAACTGTTGTTTTAGATACATGATTATGTGTGTGTTCCATGCTATGATGCAGAACATTTCTTACTGTGGGTCATGGCAAAAAATATTTTAAAAAACTGCATTAGCCTTAAAGTCTTTTGAATTCCATGATTTCAAAAGTGTTAATAGCTAGTTAATATGGAGGACATTAACTTTCTTAAGGCACTAGAGAACCACTTAAATTATCCCCGAGTAGAGCTTTTCTTTCACTAGTCCCTATATCTGGTGCCTCCCACAGGTGAGGCAGAGATGAGATATGGCTACCTGCAATACAGATACTTTAGTGGCAGGATGCCACACCCTGAGGGCACAATCTGACAAGTGTGGGAAAAAAAAGTATAAACAGAATGCTATAGGGATACCCACTCTATCTCATAAAGGCCTCTCTGAACATATAATGATTGAGTTTAGTCTAAAAAAAACCTTCAGAATCAGCTGGAGGAGAAGGAAGTCAGGATTCTGGACTGGTCGAACACAGCTCTTGCAAAGGTCATGAGACTTGACATACACTGGTGAATGGATGTTGGAAATTATCAGATGAAATGAGCAATTGGTCAGACGATGAAGGACATTTTGTACCAGATGAAAATCACTGAGCTGTATTATGAGAGTTGAGTAAAACTTTAGGCATAAGGAAGGAATGACAAAACTTGCTATTGAGAACCATTCAGGTAGACAGAGCAGTCTAGGGGGTCTCTACTGGTGTAGTTGCAGAACTGCACATATACACATACACATGCACATAGACACATATATACATGTGCATGAAGGGAACAGCAGGGAGACTGCTATGTACAGGTTGTTTCTTCTGTCTAAAATGAATGTTCCTTCTCACAGTTGATGAGATTCCATATCTTCCTTAAAGATTCTAATCAAAATCGCTGTGAATTTTTTCTTACTTTACATTTTATGTGTTAATTATTCCTGAAGCACAGCCATCCTATTAAAAACGCATAAACATTGTATATGCTACTGTTGTCACTTCTCTGTATGGTCAAGTATTTTACAATTATGGCCCCCAGTCAAACAGACAGCTCTCTATATTCCCAGTGCTAAACACATTGCCTGGCCCATTGGAGACCCTCAACATTAGTCTGGTGACCTATGATAACGTATGCCTAAAGCCAAAGAACAGAGACTGAGAAAGGAGGAACGGTTGGAGTCAATGAAAATTTCAAGTTTACTTTTCATTACATATCTATTCAAGAAGGCCTAGGAAATATTTGAGGTAGAGTAATTCAGAAGGTAAACAAAAAGCCAAACAGTAGAGAGAAGAAAACTTGTGTTGTGGTGCTGATGGGGATTTATTATAAAAGAGATGAAAGCATCACATAATGCCTATAGACTAGATTTTAAAGTTTCATTTATTCATTAATTCAACAAATGCCTATTATTCTAGCTTATAGTGTACCAGTAGCACATTATATACACATATAATATAGACACATATATACATGTACTATATATGCATTGTGAGTATATATCATGTTTGCATATATACACGTATCATATGCACATAAACGTACACATAGACACATATAGGAATATAAAAACATTCTCTACTTTTCTGGTGTTTATAACCTGAGGAGACACCATATTAAACTAAACAAACAAATGGTTATGAAAGACAAATACAATAAGTATGAGCTAATTTTTTTCCAAAAGTTTTCTGTATTTCTTTTAATTATTTCTGGAATCAGTGATAATGTGGGCAGTGATAACTGCTGGCTTTTTTAAAAAATAGACTTTCAGTTTATATGATAACACTCTACAGCCTACTTTTATCTGCAAATAAATGAAAGCTAAGTTTGTGAAATGCATTTGAAAATATTAAATATTTTCCTATATACTTAAAAAAGCCTTGTGAAGATCTAAATAGGGCCTCTTAACATTCTTCAATAAGTGTAGAAAGACAGCATGGAAACCAGTATCTTGACCAAGAAGATAGTGCTGTGTGCAGTTGTTTGCAGTAGTCTTTAAAAAGGGTATTGTAGGTATTTACCCAAAGGATACAAAAATACAGATTTGAAAGGGTATATGTACCCCAGTGACTATGGAGAGAGGCCAACTGTCCATCAACTGATGAATGGATAAAGAAAATGTGGTGTGTGTGTGTATGTGTGTGTGTGTGTGTGTGTGTGTGTGTGTGTGTGTATTGGAATATTACTCAGTCATCAAAAAGAATGAAATTTTGCCATTTACAATGATGTGGGTGGAACTAGAATGTATTATGCTAAGTGAAATGAGTCAATCAGAGAAAGACAAACACCATATGATTTAACTCAAATGTGGAATTTAAGAAACAAAACATATGAACATATGGGAATGGGGGGAAATAGAGAAGAGAGGAAAACAAACCACAAGAGACTCTTAGTGATAGAGAACAAACAATGAGTTGATGGAGGGAGGAGGGTGGGGGATAGACTAGATGGGTGATGGATACTAAGGGGGGAATTTGTTATGATGAGTACTGGGTGTTGTATGTAAGTGATGAATCACTGACTTCTATTCTTGAAATCAATATTGCACTGTATGTTAACTGAAACTTAAATTTAAAAACAGGATGAAAAGGAAAATAAATAAAATTAACAAAAGGATGGAGTTTAAAAAAAAGGATATTGTGTCTTTGGAGTACTGTGGGGTTAGATGTAGTAGGGTAATGGATGGATTTTTGGGAAAAATAGCAAGATGGTTTTCATGCTATTGAATCATATATTCATTATATGGTTTCATTATTTATGAAGCATTCGAACCCTTAGCACTTCAAGAATATTCACATCAAAATCCAAGTTGAGATGTCAATTCAAAGAGATATGAGAGAAGTTTTCATTTGCTGTTTTAGACTCTGTACATTAAATTTTCTTCCAATAATGTATACAACTAAACTTTGACTTTTAACTGATTCCTTGTAGTTGCCAGTATTAAAATGTATTTGTCTTTGAATTATTTTACAAAGTTTTTAAGATTTTATAATTAATTGTTTATTACTGCTCACTATTTGAAAACAGGCTACTTTGAG